CCTGGGCAGCACTAATGCTCCTTGTGCTTCAGCACAGGAAGAGAGCGCAGCCTTGTGACCCCAGGCGCTGCTGCAGAAGTGACAGCCGCCAAGGAGGTGCAGCTTTGTCAGGAGGTCCTAAGGGACCGGCTGCAGGCATCAGCCCCAGGAGGGCCTCACACAGCGGGTGGGACACCGCCACCGGCCGCTGCATGCATTTACGCAGGAAACTTCACTTCTAACCATCCAAACCACAACCCCTGACAAGTCCCTGTCAGGCCAAGCTGCAGCTCTGGGCCCCGAGTTAGGGAACCTGGTTTCTTCTCATAAAATAAGGATAACGGGAGTAACCACCGCATAAGTTGCGGGACAGTGAATAATTAGTGTGGGTGACAGACAGCATACACCCTGTAATTGGCTGAAATCGCAACTGTCATCCTACTTGATTCTTTTTTTCTTTTTTTTTTTTTTTTGCGGAACCGGGGATTGAACTCAGGTCCTTGCGCTTGCCAGGGAAGCACTTATTCCACTGAGCCAACTCCCCGGCCCCCCTACTTGATTCTTGAAACCTTTTTTCACCTTTTTTTTGACATTGGGTCTTACGGTGCAGTTCAGGCTGAAGTCTCCGTGGAACCCATGTTAACCTGGAAATCAGGCCACTGTCCTGCCTTGGTCTTAGCCTCACGAGTGTCAAGTCGGCATTACAAGCCTGTGTCGCCCCGCCAGCTTTCCACATTCTTAGGGCTGTTCTGGCAGATTTGAGCTTGTACCTCAATCACCCCCGGCCCTCCTCCCTGCTGCCCTCAGTGTCGCCTGCTTTAGGGGAGTCACTGTGTATAAACCGAACTACAGCGCAGGTTGCCGGTTGTCTCCCCTCCTCTCCTCAGCCCCACCACTCAGGGGTGCAGGGGGAGCCCCAGTAGCCCTTGTGCTCAGCACCATGGAGCAGGAACGTGGCTTGGTGGAGGGGACCCAAAACAATGCAGGGATACCTGTATCTCCCCAGTGCCTGGGCTGCAACCTGGTCCCCCTGGGAGGATACTGGGGGCAAAGCCTGTGGAGGAGACTCAGTCACAGGACGGGGCCACCCCCCCCGGGGGGGGGTTAGTGCCCTTGTGGAAGAGCCCCAGGGGTGGCGGCAGGCCTTTCTCAGAGCGCTCTGGGAGCCCAGCAAGAGGCTGGAAACCCTGCTGTTCACACACCCCGCTCTGCAGTACCCCGAGTCAGCAGCCCAGATGGACCCGGGCCTGCCGTATGCACAAGCCACTTGCCTCTCTGATCTCCTCAAATAGCCTGATGGCGTGTTCATACTCGGGGGGCTCGGCGCTCAGCTCCGATTCCAGGACGTCCCAGAAGGCCTGGTGCACGATGCTCTTCACCCGCCCTGCCAAGCTGCAGCAATGAGATGAACGGCTTCAAACTCAGTCTCATTCCCCCCCCCCCCCGAGTCTAGAAGATACTGGCTCGCTGCAGAACTCTCGGGGACACATGGGAACAGGGAGGGGCACACTGGGAGCAGAGGTGGGAGGCTCGCAGGCAGCAGCCGGGACACTTCCTGGGGCCCAGTCTCAAAATAAAATAGGAACGGGGCTGGGGATGCAGCTCACTGTGCAGGCCCCGGATTCAATCCCAAGCAACACAAAAACAAAATCAAACCAACCTGAGGGCAAAAATCGACCACCCATCCCATTCCTAATCTGCTGACCAATCTTCCTGCTCCCTGCACTGTGCTAACATAGCTAGGGGTACTCGCTGGATGTGGTGGGGGTAGAGATTTCTTTCATGCAATATTCTGCCCTCCCCCAGGGGGGTCTCCCCTGGGCTTTCGAAATGCTTCGAATAAAACACAGCCCTGAGATGCTCTAGCGCAACGCAGCCGGTTCCTCTCCCAAACAGACCCGCAGGCTTGTTCTAGATGTCAGGGAGGACAGGGTACAGGTGCAAATGGACATACACCACACAGTGTACCCTGCTGAGCCCTGGGGTACCCCCACGGAGTGACGCCCCTCCTGGGCAGGCTGTGCCCCGCCTGCAGGTCCTACCGTGTGCCTGGCACCGCGCTGGCACCCGAGATTTGAGACCCACACCGTGCATGAATTATTGACACAGTGACTAAGGTTCCCTCCCACTTTCCCTTCTTTTGTGTCACTGAAGCTGTGACTGCCAGGAGCCCACACGTCCATGGCAGGAGCCAGTGCACACACAGCACGCATTTTAGCTCTCTGCTTCCGGCTCTCCCGCCACTTCTCATCCGTCTTTTCCCTGGCAAGACTCCTTATCCTTCTCAAAGCATGACTGAGCCACGAGAGGAGGACAGCGGCTTCTCGAGGCGTGTGACTGGCACTGCTTCCAGAAGTGCGGGCGGGACACGTACTCGGCGAGCTCAAAAGCGAGCCTGTCCGCAGGAATGACTGCAGATGTCCCTTCCCATGGCCGAGCTGCCCTTGGGGACTCAGATCTGCGTCCCCGGGGGGGAGTGCCAGGTTTCCCAGTGGCTGCCTGCTCTGGGGAGCGCTCTGGGCGGGCAGGCAGCGACCTCGGCACCAAGCCGCTTCTAAGTGTTCCTCCGGTGCCACAAGCCACCAGCTGTGCCTTACTCCCCAGATGCTATCTGCTGAGCCACCAGAGTCAGCTGCACTTTAAAATGGAAAACTTGACCACTGTGGGGACCGAAAATCAACAGATAGTAACTTGCAACTTTTAAAACGTTTTGCCATATTAGAGAGCGAATCTGGGACCTTAACAGTGAACTGTGTCACTAGTGTTTTTAAAAATTTATTATTTTTTTTTTTAAAGATTTGAGACAGGGTCTTGCTAAGTCACTAAGTTGCCCAGGCAAGACTTGAACTTGAGATCCTCCCACGTCAGCCTCCAGCACGCTGCGATGACAGGCACGCATGCCACGTCCACTCTCCTTGCTTAGGTGGTGTAAGGGGTCCTAACTGCACACTGCGCCCTGTGCTCCCGCTCTCCCCTCCGCGCAGCGATGAAAGGAAGCATCTCCTGCTTCGCCAGGTGTCAGGGGCACTTTAGGCCAGGAGCACACGTGCCATGTCAGTAGTCACTGTCTTGTCCCTGGGCAGCCGGGGGCTCAGTTGGGCCAGGGCTCAAATCCGGGTCTGTCTGGCTCCAAAGTGCCCTCCTTCTGTCTCTCTCTCCTTGCAGCTTTGGAATCTAAAGCCCAGACTCCCCATGCAGGCTTCTCCTTATCTCAGAGAGTGCTCATTTTAACTTTATCATTTCACTTTCTCACCAGGTCATAAATGCTGGTGAAGCCTCCAGCAGGCGCACGAGGTCAGGGACACTGCGGTACACAGAGTTCCTGCCCGGGTAGCAAAGAGCGGCTCAGCAGGTGAGACCCACACCTGGCAGGTGCCAGGCCTGGCTCAGCCTCAGCAGGAAGCCTCAGGCGTGGAGCCCCTGGGAAAAGCACGAGGCCCCGGGAGGTTGGAGAGACTGCTTGAGGGGCAGAGCTCCCAGGCGGCCTCGGCTCGGAGCAACCCAGAACAGGGACAGGAAGACCTGCGGCGGCTTGGGAAGCAGAGCCTTCATAACTGTCATAGACAACATCCCTGAAGATGGGGTCTATAGCTTGGATTTTTTTTTTTGAGACATGTTCTTGCTATGTAGCCCAGTCTTGTCTCGATCTCAGAGGTGCTCACCCTACTGGAAGGTGATCCTCCTGCCTCAGCCTCCTGAGTGCCAGGATTACAAGAGTGCACTGTGTTGCCTGTCTTCACCCATGTACATTACATAAGAACTTGCAGGAATTGGTGTGAACCCGTGAATACACAAATACACACGTGGGTGCGCGTGGGTGCACGCGCGCGCACACACACACACACACACACACAGTTTCTGGCATCATCAGCACACCCCGAGGGCCGGCGGGTTACCTGTGCTCCGGGAGGTCCTCTTGCTTCAGCTGAAAGTTGTCATTGACAGCGATCTCATGGGCCAGGGCCATGTTGGATAAGTTCCTGGCTGCACCCATGACCTCATCAAAGGTCACAACGCCGGGCGGGCTGGATGCTGGGAAAGAAAACAAGGTCACATGCCGCGGAGGGAAGACATCGTCCACAGTGGCTCCCGACACAGGCCAGGCCAGGCAGTTCCCACCTCTGCAGAGCTGAGGGCCGCGTGGCTCCTCCTGTGGCTTCCGCTGCTATCCTGGACGATAAATGCCCAAACACTGATAAGACTGCCTCACTTGTACAGGCCTGAAACTTACAACTGAATCACCTTACTATTCGGTGTCTCTCCATATTTGTCTGCGTTGATACAGGAAACAGACTAAGGCTATTTTTATTCTATAATTCAGAATTCTCATTAAGTACACTCAATATGGAGCAGATTAAAAAAAAAAAGATTTCTAAATGTACAGTATAAGGTAGGGAGTAAAGAATTTCAGTTATTTCTATCTTTTTGAGACAGGGTCTCACTTTGCAGTTCATGCTGGCTTTGAGCGCACTTCGTAGCCCAGGCTGGTCTCAAACTTGCAAGGATCTTCCTGCCTCAGCCTCCTGAATGCTGGGATTACAAGCGTGCACCACAATGTCTGGCCAATTTCAGTTATTTCTAGAGGTGACCCTAAGAATTATTCTAACAAATCGTGTTCATAACACCACAGTTGGAAATCTTAGCTTCTGTTAATTAAAAATCATGACCTCAAATAGCAGCACTAGCAGGCAACACTTGGCTGCCTAAATTCTTTTAAAAAGGAAAAGGAAAGAGGAGAAAGGGGCTGAGGGAGAAGAGGAGGAGAAAGAAAGGTAACAGAAGAAGCAGGCGCTTTCCTCAGGACTCTCGGGCACCCTCTTGTCAGACTCGAGCCCCACATATAGGGTCAGGCTTAAGAACCCGGGTGGCTGCCCTGTTTGCCAACTGCCTCAGGACCTCAGAAACCTCAGCGTGCTCTGGCCCACGGCCCTGTGATAAGGAAAGGAACTAACTGTCACAGCGTTCGGGCACCAAGATGTTCACAGAGCGCTGCCGGCAACAGCAAGAGCAGAGCGCAAGCTCGCCCATGGCCGGGCTAATTCCGTGAGTGAAGCCACGGCCTAGCCACCTGACCGGTGGGTGGTAAGTGGTCACAAAACAGTCTAGGAAACACAGTTTCACGAGCAAAGCTTTGGTTATAACGCTAAGTGAGCAGAGTCCACACACACGCCTCTAACACATAAAGATACAAAGATACAGCAGGGAGGGCCAGCAAGACAGCTCAGTGGACTAAGTGCTTGCTTAGGCAAGTGCAGGACTGGGGTTTGATCCCCGGACCACATGCCGTGCCAGCCCTGCTCCCAGGCACGCTGAGCCAGCTGGCCACCAAGACTGGGCATGGTGGTGCAAACCTGTAATCTCAGCACTGGGGAGGCTGAGACAAGAGGATCACTATGAGTCCGAGCTGTGTAGCGAGGCCCTGTACCAAACACATTAAAAGAACAGAACAGATATGGCAGGGCTCCACCAGCTGTCATCTCTGGCAGTATTTTCTTCTCTCTACGCTCTGAATTTCCCAACTTTTAAAAATGAGAATAGAAAACTGTATTTTATTCTATTTAAATTTTTTAAAAAATCTTTTATTTATTTACTTGGTGCAGGACCTTCTACACAGCTCAGTCTCCTAGTGATCCTGTGTCTCAGCACCCACAGTTCTGGGATCACAGGCGTGCGCCCCCACACCCGGTTTCTGTGCTGGCTCTGCGCAGGGCCTGTGCAGCATGCAGTCCTGGGGATCAAACTCGGGTCCTTGCGCTTGCCAGGCGGCTCTCAGACTGCTGAGCTATCTCCCAGGCCTGACAATGCAAAACTTTAAAATAAATACAAAGGAATAAATGGTGTGACGTGGGCCCTGGATCCTATCAGATGTTGGCTGCCTTTCCTGCGTGTACTTTATCAGTTTACAGGGTGATACCTCCTGGGCAAAATGCAAATTAAAAACTTTTTCTGTGTGCTCCTGTCACACGCAGAAAAGGACAAAGCAGCCAGGATGCGGCACACAGCTGGAATCGCAGCACTCCGGGACGCTGAGGCAGGAGGACTGAAAACTCAAGCGACTTAGCGAAAATGAGAAGTAGTAGTTGTTTCTCAAAATAATTTTTTAAAAAAAGTGAAAACATCATTTAGGCCGGGCCTGATAGCACACTCCTGTAATCCCAGCACTCAGGAGGCTGAGGCGGGAGGAGAGTTGCAAGTTTGAGACCAGCCTGGGCTACAAAGTGAGCTCAAGGCCAGGCTGAGCTGCACAGGGAGACCCTGTCTCAAGAAGACTATATATATGGCTGGGGTTTTTTCCCTCTTTTTTTAGTGGCTGAGGATATAGTTAAAGGTCCTGGCATCAATTCCCAGTGCTTTGAAAAAGAAGAGAAGACAAAAAAGAAAGAAAAGAGGAAGATGTCTCCTGCCTCACTGCAGTCCTCTGCTGTCTCACAACCCCGTGTCCTGTCATAATCCTCACTGGGCCCCTGCTGAGTGATTTCCACAGCAGAGTTTGAGATTAGCAAGAAACCCTTTAGATTATTTCACTTCCTGCCCAGCCCTTCCGGGATGGCAGTTTCCTTCAGTGCATGTTGGGAAAAAAAGGAAAAAAAAAAAAAAGAGAGAGAGAGAAAACTAATCTGAATTTCTCCTACTGTGTCCATGGTGGAGTAGCTTCCCTCCCCCGGGAGGAAAGTCAGGCTGGGTGACAGCCCTCTTGGTGCAGAGGAAGCTGCCTGGAGCCGCCAGCCCCGAGGTGTCCTCCACCGCCCGTCAGGCACCCACTGCCCACCCGCCCGGCTCACAGGCAGGAGAGCTGGCCTTGCTGGACGAGTCGCTGGAGAAGCGCTGCCGCGAGCACTCGCAGTCGCTGAGGGAAGCCAGGCTCTCGGAGCAGCGCGGGGAGTCGGAGTCCTCGGAGTCGCTGGGCTGGTCCTCAGTGGTGTGCTGCTTCTCCCCGTGGAGTGGCATGCTGCGGCTCCTGCACGCACGCACGGGTGGACTCGATCAGTGTCCCTGGGCCCCGGTTAGCACCCACAAGAGGCCACAAAAGATCCTCAGGAAAAACCGACAGGACGCACATGCACCTGTCCTGGGCCGCTCAAGCCCCGGGAGGTGACCGAGCTGGCTCTGGGGACAGACTTGGCCTGCTCCCTGCCCGAGAGTTCACTGGTCCCCTTGCTTAGCCAGGAACCTGGACAAAAAGCCTGGCCGCGGGTTCCCCGCCTCACTAAAAGCCTCGGCCCAGATGCCAGCGGCAGCTGTCACACTGCTCTACCGCCTTGTTCTAGAGAAGAAGTTAGAAATCCCCCTCTTTGTGTCCCACTGGGGACAAGTCTCCCCAGTAGACAAATGTCTGCTGCTGCTTCCCTTATGTGGCCCTGGAAACTGCCACTAGATGACACGCGGGAACCTACAGCCTGGCGCTTCGACGCAGCGGGCCCAGACGGCCGCAGATACTCATCACCTTCTGCTCCAGCTGCCTGAGGAGTCGGCCATGCTGCGCCCAGAGAGATGATGGGCACGGGGAGCCCGGGCCAAGCCAGGACACCGCACCGGCCTCGGGGAGGCTGTCCTCACAGTGGGTGGAAAGAGAAACTGAGGCCCGGGACAAAGGCATCTCCAGTCCTCAGTGACAGCAATGACCAGAAGAGTTTGCAGCGTCCCTTTAACCCTGCAGCGCCCACACCGCAGGCCAGAGTGCTTGTGAAGCTGTCTCCTCTGAACCTGCTACCTCTCTGAGCTGACCGTACCTCCCTGGATGATTCCGTGAGCACGCAAAGCACAGCCGCTGTGCAGCAGGCTGACGCAGCAGCGAGGACAGGGACGGGCACTAGCGCTACACACACTGGTGCCAGGGGGCAAAGAGGGGGGCTGGGGGGGCCAGGCTTTGTGGAGAGGAGCAGGTGGCTGCTCCTTCCTGCGCAAACCCTAGCCCTGCAGCGTGGCTCACCCACACCACCACTTCCTGGCCTGATACGCAGACTCCCTCACCAGGCCGTGCCTGGCAAGAGGAGCAGGACAGGCCCCATGCAGGCCACCCGGCAGGGAGCCGCTGCAGTGCCCACCGAGAGCACAGGCGATGAAGCAGCCAAGCCCTAGTCTCTGGGTGACACAACACTGCCTCCAGAACCAGCCTCACAGCTCCAGCTCCACTGCTGACAGAGGGAGAGGGACTAAGAGACAGGGCCTCAGTAACCCTTTAATGGCCACCATCCCCTGACCCTCCATGCAGCCTGCAACCTCTTTCCCTGACAACATTCTACTTTCCACTGACAAGGCCTCTGTCTAAGACGGGCCTTACTATGTAGTTTAGGTTGGCCTTGCAGTGATCCTCCTGCCTCAGCCTCCCAGGGGCTGCAGATTTCCACCGCTGACAGCCGGCGAGGCAGTTCTTGAAAATGCTGCCTCCTCCAGGAAGGTCTCCCTGCCCTGCTGGCACTCACGGCCTCCTGGGCGCATGTCCCGCACCTCGGCCGCACCTCCTAGAGACAATGGCTGCTCCCTGTCCTTTCGCAAGGTGGACACAGTGCCATCCTGCTGCCTGCGCCAGCGGGCGACAAGCGTCCACTCAGTGTCCGCGGAGCCGCAGCACTGGACACCAGCAGGTACGGCGTCCACTAGGACCCGAGCAAGCTGAAGCCAATAGGCGCTCACATGCCTGCTGCCCCAAGGTGCCAGCCCTGGGCCAGGATTACAACTCACAACACCTGAGGCCTTGTCGCTCTTATTTGAGGATGGGAGTTGTTGTCATTCTTTGTTTTTTTAAGACAGAGTCTTACAACAGAGCTCAGCTTGAACTCAGTGTGTAGCCCAGGCTGGCCTCAAACTCATGATCCCCCTGCCTCAGCCTTCTGAGTGCTACGGCTGGAGGCGTGCGCCACCACGCCTGGTCTATTGGAAGACCCTAACACGTTCCTTGGCTTGAACCGCGAGCGTGTGCGTGACGGTCCCATGCCACTCGACAGGACAATCAGCATGTGCCACAGCAGCACGCATGACATATGAATTGAAACCCAGTCATGAACACGTTGCCAGTTATTTCTACACTACTTTTTCCAGTCATCATGTAGCCACTAAGCTGAAGCCCTCTGCATTTTCTCCACTTGAGCTGCCTCAAACAAGCAGGCCTTGGGTTGTCTGCCAAGCAAAAGCGAATAAGCACTTTCATCTGCAGGCCCTTACGCGCTTGATTAATGCTACAATCACTCGTTTCAGTCCCCCCCTGCCCCCCAGCTTGACAACACACTGGGCAGCTGTGTTCAACATGGCAGCCGTGTGCCAAGGTTTAAAAACCAAACAGCTCCAGGTGAGGAGGCAGGAGTCCAGCGCCCTGGGCTCGGCTGGCAGCCAACTGACTGCGACGGCTGTCCCCACGCCCCACTCCTGGACCTCCAGGGGGCCGGGCCAGGCTGTGGGCCCAGCCATGCTCTAAGCTGGAATTCCAGAGCAATACCAGAAGGCTGCTGGAGGCAGGGGCCTGGGCCGGGCTGCAGGGGCAAGCTCAGGGCTTCCCAGAGTGTGCAGCCTCCTGTTCAGACGGGAGGAACTGCCACATTACAAGCGGCCTGTGTGTCCAAGGACGCCGTCTTTGAAACCCTCTATTAGAAACCGCTGAGCCAGTAACGCCTGACTCACACGGCCAGGGTGGGTGAAAGATTTCATTTGGTGGGGGGGAGAGGAGTGGAGGGGAGGTGGGGAAAGGCAGCGGGAGGGGGAGGAGGAGCCCGGACAGCGCTGGACACAGACAGGGGCACAGACGGTGGCCTGTGTTACCTGCTTGTTCGTTAACATGAGCACACTGGAGGAAGATCGGTTTCCTCCCAGGGTAATTAAAGCATGTTCCCCTGCAGATAACTGAGGCCAGGGCTTCACCTGGGAATGAACTCATGCCCTTGTCTGAAATACAAAACTGCCCACGGTGGCCTGTCCCAGTGCCGAGTGCTCTGCCCAAGCCCAGCACATCTGCTCCCCACCGCCTCGGCTTTGGCCTCCCACCTAAGTCACCTGGGGGTGGGAGGGATGAGCTGGGCTCTAACAGCCTCGTGGGGAATTACTACTGTGTTTTGCATTTTCTCTCAGGCTGGAGATAATCAAACCAGGATAGGCTGGTTTTTTGTTTGTTTGTTTCGTTTTGTTTTTTAAGAAAACATAAGGCTTCTCCAACAAACACAGACCCAGGTCTACCTGGCTGCCAGTCCAACTCACTGGTAAACCGCACCATGTTCAGGATCACTGTGCCTCATCCACCTGGAAGGTGCTGAAAGGCCACAAGCAGGGTAAAAACCAGGCTGCCCCCATCTGTGGTGGACACAGGACTCATCCTTGGGGCTGGAAATCTATTCCCTTCTCTCTAACGTCAGTAGTCAAAGAGTTCACCCACCCATGCATGGCTCAGTCCCTGCAGTAGTGGCTTCGGAAGGGATGACATAAATGACCAAAATGCCAATGTAATTAAAAAAAAAAAAAAAAAAAAAAAAAAAAACACGGGCAGGGGGCCTGCTTCTGATAGACTAAGGTCTGCTGTGTCTCCTGAAAGCGTTTTGCACACTTACTGCGCAGGGTGATAGTCTTGGGTGGCGGTGCCTGAGGGGAGCGTCTGTGCAAAGGCCGTGAGAGCCCTGAGTGTGCTCTTGCCCCCAGAGGCCTTCCGCCGGGCCGAGGCTGGTCCTAGATGGTGTTCGGTTTTGGTACTGGGAATTGAACTGAGAACCTTGCACTGCCCAGGCATGCACGGTGCCGCTGAGCTATATCCCCAGCTAGGGCAGTTCTGATGAAACCTCAGATAGAAACTAGAAATGCTGTAAATGTCACCCTGTCCCAAGGTGGCAAAGCACTTGGGTGAATGTGTATGTACATGGCCAGGCTAGAAAAGAAGGCAGAGTTGAAAAGCTGTGGACCAGGGTACCCTAGGGAAGACATTGTGAAGCAAAATATCAAAGGAGCTGTGTGGCTACTTTTATTTATTTACTTATTTTGGTATTTTTCAGACAGAGTCTCACATGCAGTTCAGGCTGGCCTGGAGCTCCCTTTGTAGCCCAGGCTGGTCTCCAACTCCCAGTGATCCTCCTGCCTCAGCCTCCTGAGTGCTGGGATCACAGGTGTGGGCCACCACTACTGGCTACGCAGCTACTTTTAACCACACTCAGGTAGATGTGAGAGCAGAGAAGTGATTTAAGGACAGTTTATAATCAGAGAAGCCGAGTGGCAAGGTCTGGGCAATGTGTAGCCTGGTTGTGTGGAGAGTGGGCAGGCATCTCAGAAGAGCAAACAGAGAGACTGCCCAGGGGCAGATGATAGGAGAGATGAAGCGTGAGTCAGGGGCCAGGAGCCGCTCAGCAGGACAATGGCGAGGACCCCAGTCACATGGCAAAGACCAAGGCTGCCCCCATCACAGGAAGGGAAGGGTCCACAGTGGTGTCCCTGGAAAGTCAGCATTTGCTGCCTGACTACTGCTCCCTAAATTCTGGCCAGCACCCCTCAGAGGTCCCAACTGGGGGTCGAGGGGCCCAGGCAAGCTTGATCTCTGTATGACACAAGCTGAAAGCCCTGGCCATGTCCACACCATTCTAACTCTGCAGTCACTCTGAATACGGAGCACACCAGCCCAGGCCTCGAAGTTCCTAGAATCCACCTGGACTCTGGAGGATACAGAGTGGCCTAGCGGCTGGGCAGACACCTGCTTGGGCATGAGCATCTCCAAGGACCCTCCGGGAGGAAGTCCAGGGAAGCAGGAGGTCAGGGCTGCCAGAGGCTGCAGCAGGGAAAGCTACCAGCAGGGACTCCAACCACAAGAGCCCAGCCAGCAGGGCCATTGGGGCAGGGATGCCCTGGGCTGTGGGCACCCAAACATACCCAGTGGTGTCCAGAAGGGAGGACAGGGTTTCATGGGCGTTTGTTTTAAGGCTTTCAAATTGGATGTTGTTTTCCATGCAGGACTCTGGATTCACCTGGCATCTGTCACCCCTCTGGTCTTCCTCATCTCTCCCTTGAAGAAGGTGCAGGTCTGGATTACATCCTATCGCTGCAGTTTGGAAGTAGACACCTTGCTTTGATTTCACAGCTGGAGGAAATGGAGCTCAGGATAAAACCTGTCCAGTCTTGCCCAGACCCGATTTAGATGCTGTGGACTTCTGGGTTGGTGATGGAATAAGTTATGGCTTTGGCGCTCTCGGGATGGAATGAATGTACTTTGCAGGGGAGAAGGGTCTGCATTTGGGGCTTGGGGGAGGGTTGCTGTGGCTGAATACAGCCTTCAAACAGCCTGAGTTAGAAGCTGGGTCCTCGGCCCACCAGGGCCAGAAGGAAGGCCTAAAGGGGCCATGCGTAGGGCACAGGGAGCCCCTGGAAGGCACGGAGCATGAAGCTCGGAGTCCAACTTCTCGTGCCCTTGGCCCCTAGTAGGACACAGCAAGAAGGCCTTCACCACGGTTGCCCTCAATCTTGGACTTCTCAGGCTCCAAGCCACGAGCTCACCAAACTGTTTCTTGTGAATGGCCCAAATGTGTAGTCCCTCAGAGCAACACAAAATGAACTGAGACAGTAACCGAGTGCAGTAGGTGGTCCTAGACAGGACCCCTACCCGTCAAAACTGGGACTCGAGGATGGATGTCACTGTCAATGCCAGTGTTGTTCCCATGCTTGGCTCTGTCTGTACTGACAGTGGAGACACCGAATTGACAAACGCACTGTCGTTACACATACCGAGCGTGCGGCTTGGTTTCAAATAAAAGGGAAGGAAAACAATAAAGCAGATGAAGAAAGATGTTGGTGGGGGAACGTGGGTCACAGGCAGCGACACTGCTCTTAGTACGTGCCCACTGCCTTCTCTGTAAGCATGAAGGTATTTCCAATAAGAGCTGAAGGGAGAAGTAGGGCTAAGACGAGAGTCTCACCCAGAGCAGATGGGAGCCCTATAGGTTGGAAAGTGGCGCTGGGCCTTCGCACTGAGCTATATCCTCAGACCGTCTTCATTTGCACTCTGAGACTGGACCTCCCTAAGTTTCTCTGGTTGGTCTAAGCTGTGCTCCTCCGGCCTCCGCCCCGGGAGTGGCTGCAACTGCAGGCACATGACATCGTGTCTGGCTTGCTGCAGTTTGTAGATTCTGATTATCCCCACCACTGTGTGAGCGAGATACCACTTTAGTAAAAAGCTCTTCTAGACACACATGTCCCAGTGTCCTCCTTCAAGGACAGTGCCTAGACAACAGAAGAAGAAATGGGCAGGGGCCCTTCAGAACAGACAAAAGGAATCATTTCTTCAAGGGTCTCCTTTCCCTGAGAAGCCGTGAGAGCCCCTGGGCGATCTGGCCTCTGCTGGTGCATCCCGTTCTGCTGGCCCACAACCCCTGGGGCTCTGACGCGGTGGCCCTCTCCAAGCCGCTAGCACCGATGCTCACATCCTGCCTTGGAGCACCTCTTGCACGCCTCCCCCTGGAACCTCATCTCCCCCATCTCCAGGTGGCTGGCTTCTTGTGGTGAAGATCTGAAACTGAATGCCACAACTTCAAAGTGACCCTCCGTGGGGCTGGGGTCTGGCCTGGGATAGGGCAGCCAGTGGCGCCCTCGGCCCCACGCACACATGACTTGGCTCTGACTCGCTCCGGCCAGGTCCGTTTGCTCACACGAGCGCTGCGCAGTCACAGAAAGCACTGTCGCCGTGGCTGTCCGCAGAGTTCTCTCCCAGCTCCATTGCAGGCTGCGCACACAAGCAGCTCTGCCTCTTCCTCAATTTCCGGCAGCACCACAGTGTGTTCCCAAGCCCTGATCATTCAAACCACGGAGGACTCGCAGTTCCAGCAGCTTGAAGGACAGTTTGCATGGAGTCTTTTGGCCCTGCTAAGCTTGCCGGTCCCACCAGACCCTGACAATCACAGTGAGCAGCCCCAGGGTGCCAGGGCCCGAAGAAGCAGCTACCATAACCATCTTGGGGTGAGTCTATCAGCCTGTCACCTCAGGTTCTGGGGATGACTGCTGTAGCTAAGATATATCCCTATTTTAAAAGGACCCCAGGCTCAGAGATTGCACTCGTCTCCCAATGGCCCCCGGCAGCGCAGGGCCACAACCCAAGTCCAGGAGCGGAGCCCTAAGCCCCTACTCTACCACTCCAGGACAGCTGGAGAGAACATGGTGCCTGTCGTCCTTTCCACTGCCACCCTGCCAAACCAAGCCATCCTTTACCATGTGGACACTGGCACATGTGGCAGCCAGCTGCCCCTCCATGGGGTGACTGCTCAGTGCCACAGTGTGAAGGGCATGGCCAAGAGCCCAGGATCCAAAATAACACTCGATCAGCTCCTAGGGCGACTGAAAATGCTCCATCAGGCAGCTGTTTTTATGTGCTGAAAATCCTTAGATAAAACCCAAGTATTACCCAAAGGGTGAACTGCCCATAGCTAGTGGGAGTCACAAACATTCTGGAGTGAATTACCCCAATTACTCTGCAGGCTGAGGATGAAGGAGCCCATCCAGTTAGCAGCAGGTGCTAGACAGGAGAAATTTCAAGAAGGACCTCGAGTCACAGGGGCGAAGCTACGGCACACACACGCCTCAGCAGGCACACAGTGCCCTCTCTGTTGGCTCTCGAACCAAGTCACACCAGCGTCTGAGCAATGGCTGATGGTTTTTCTAAACTAAAACCTTGGTATGCAGGTTTAATTGTAGTGCTGACATCTCACAATAAATAAGTGGGTTTGGGCTGCAGTTTGGCGCTCGTCTCTGACAGGCTCGCCATCACTGATCTGGAGGTCACGGTCCTTCAGGACCACGTGGAAGTCAGTCATGCGGGCAAGCACTGACACGCGTGGTCAGCCGAGGGAGCAAGAGCAGGGCCTGGTGAGAAGGCTGAAGGTGGCGGAAACTTTCCCGCTGTGCTTTGGAGCCAGACAGCAGCACCAAAAGTTACTCCCCTAGAGCAAAGCCAAGCCTTCAGAGCAGCGGGACGTGCCGCGCCAGCACTCGGCCGGCCGACAACACTGGCTGTCTTCACCCAAGAGCAATCCAAAGCTAGAAAAAGCCGGAAGCCAGTCACTGTCTAAGGAGCAGATGTTCACGCCACGCAGGGCGTCACCACACCGGGAAGGCTTTCTGCACACTCTTCACGCTTGACGTCACTGCCCCCTGCTCCAGCTGGCCTGGGTCAGGACCCGGGGCCCTCAGCCCCTCCGAGTGGCAGGAAGTGGCTCCCAGCCGACACCTGGCATCTTCAGCACTGAAGTCGCTGTCTGGTTAGGCTGCCAGGGTGATATGTGACAGGCCAGAGAAAGGCGGGAAGGGCCAGGTCTCCAGCCGAACACAGGACGCTGAGGGACCCTAGGGACAAGTCTAGCTTGTTGGGAAACAATACAATACAGGGCACTTAATTACAAGATTATTTTATAATAGTTGCCCAAAGAGTCATCTACAGTAAGTGCAGGAAATCTGTTCACACACTGAAGACCAACTACTCCAGCTGAGGCCCGGAGCCTAATGTCCTGCAGAGGTCCAGCTGAAGACCTAGAACCCATAACAACGCCTCCCCCCAGTCCAGCTGGAGGCCGAGCCCACCACAATGTCTCAAGCAAGCCTGTCTCATGGATCTGTGCCGGGAAGGCCCAAAGGTCAGTGGTGGAAGCCAGGAAGTCTGTGCCGGCGGGATGAAGGCTCTCTGCCAGCTGCAGGCTGAGGGGTCTGCACTGGAGCCGGGAAGGGATGCTCAAGGTAAGAGCCAGAGCTCCCTGCAAAGCACCACAGGGAGGACCTGAGCTCCTTCTATGATACAAACAGCTGAGTTCATCAGGAAAGCCAGCATGACAAGCTCCTCCAGGGAAACCAACAGCCCCCTACAGCTTCCCTAGCAGCCTCCTTCCTCCCTCTCCAGTTCTGCCCCTTATGTTGCCCGCAACAATCCTCAGGTGGGCCTCCTACACCCAGCACCAGGCTGGTTCAGTTCAGCTGGGTGTTACAAGTTGACCACCAGCGGTCAATCCACCACTTTTCTAGTTCCTTCATGGGCAAACCAGCAGGACAAGCACCATGACAATATTCCCGGAACTTCAGCCCCCTGAGTAGCACGCCAGGACTGTACCCACCGCCTACCCTGATCTAAGCAAACACACCTCCATCAGAATCAGGCTGTGGCATTTAAACGTAGTCATGTCAAAAGGAAACTGTATTGTGGTGCAATTGCTCACTTAATGCCACATTGTTTCCTTAACTGACAAAGCCGCATAGCTATGTGCATCCCCATGCCATCAGTGAGGGTCACCATCCTGGGTGACAGCCTGGGGAGCACAAAGTCATTAACCTGAGACGACAAGGGTTCCAGCCGTCTGCTCCCCAAGACAGGCACGGTACCACAGTCCAACCCTCAACGGGCCTCGGTGCTCCTCCCCACTCTTGCCCCTGGTCCCCTCCGCCCCTCCCGTCGCCTCCACGTTTCCTGTCAAAACAAACCCTTGGGGGAGGGGACGGCCCAAGCCCGGCCGAGTGCGGAAAATCTGGCATCAATCCCCGGACACTCGCCCGATCTCTGCGTCTCAGTCCCCGGCTTGGCCCCCACCCAGGGGTCCTGGGCGTGGAGATCCCCTGCACCCCGAGGCTCCCGTCGTGCCTCCTGACACTGCAGGGTCACCCGCGCCCCCTCAGTGCAGTACAGGGCTCGAGAAGAACAAGGGGACGGCTCTGATCCCTTCGTCCCTGGACAAGGTCCGAGTGGGGACCCCCGCCCGGAGTGCTATCCCCACTGGCCTCGCCTTCGTCACCCCACGGCCGCGTACGCACCGGTCCAGCGCAAAGAAGATCGGCGACGACCAGCTCGGGCCAGGGGTGTGATGTCCCTTGTCCCCTTCTCCCTTAGCCGAGTAAAACAGCGTGGAAACTCCCAGCACCCAACTCAAGGCCCTGTACCCCCCCCCCCCCCGGGTATTTAAAGGGCTCTAAGGTCCGGAGGGAAGCGACCGTCGCCAAGCGGACGCGGGGGGATGGCGCGACAAGCCGAAGAGCAGCGCGGGGCATCGTGGGCTCAGGCCACCGGGATGTCACAAAGCCCACGCACTATCGGGAGGACTACCCCAGGTTCGGGTCTACAGAGGCCTCGGATGGCTGGGTCTGAACGGCGTTCTGGTGGCGAGAGGCACGTTCACCCCCTCCGCGTGGTGAGTGGTACAGTCCGGGCCGGGGGCGGGGCGGTGAGTGTTTACGGAACTGGGACGGCCAGGCGCTCCGGGCTGGGGGCGGGGCCGTCAGGGGCAGGCTTATACGGGGGCGGGGCCAAGCTGTAGACAGCTGTCGCGGGGGAACCGAGCCAGCCTGGGGGCGGGAGTAAGATAGGGAGGGGCGGGGCATTGTGGGCGGGGCCCGGCCCGGCCAAGTAGCAGGCAAGTTGGATTTACACCTTGCATGGTGGGGGATGGGGGGAAGGCGGAGGAGGTGCCTTGGGCCAGCGCGAGGCGCCCACCCTCACGATGTCCACACCTACAGGAACCATCACCCTACACCTCACCACCAGTGAGCGTCCCCACGCCTGTTAGCAGTCAACCCCAAGTCATCCACATTTGCGTCTCCCACTCCATGTAAACACGGGTCCAGATTTGCGCCTGCACCAGCAGATTAGCTCTGAGCAGCCACACCTACCCGGGCAGGGGAAAACTTGGCCGCGTGCAAAAGATATAGTTGTTTTTCTTTTTTCTTTTCTTTTCTTTCTTTTTTTTTTTTTTTTAGAGAATAAAAATGATACAGAATTTCAAAACAATATGATAGGAAATTAAAAAAAAAAAAAAACAGATAACAGCTTGTTTTCTTGGGCGTTTTGCAGCCCCATCTGCACAAGTTTTGACATTGTCCAGAATGAATTACCAGTACCCCCAGGGCCTGTGCCGTAGGGCCTGCTGCTGATTCCTTGCCAAGAGCTACTGCAGGATATGCAAACCTCTGCCAGGTGTAAATTGCTGGCGTGCAGGAATGGAGGGAAGATTATACACACTGAAGGCTTTCTGCTTAGTGCTGAAATCATGGCTGGATTGTGGAGATAGACTTGTTCTAGGGCAAAAATGAAACAAAACAAAAAACCAGACAGGCAACATTCTACAGCAGAACAGAACTCCAGTTGTTCAGTGGTTACAACAGAGTCCTCTTGGGTTCGATCCCCGGCTCTGACGTTTACTCAGAGAGATGCCTGTGTGAGGGTAAACTTACAGGAAGCCCCGGGCATGCTGCAGCGTGCCCCACGGGCACTCAAGCACCGGGCTTGTTGGCACTCCCTGGCAAACCACTCTGAAGCACCTTCGCTGCCAACCTGTAGAACTTTGTAGCTGGTGTCTTCTTTCGTCACTTTTCTCCTAAAATAGCCTGACACAGGTCAAGACAGACACTGAAGAAAATGCTGTGGCTGTGCGAGTTCTTTCCTATGAGCATGTATCACTTAGCTCATGTTGCTGAAATAAACAGCTACCAGAAGCCTCTGGTTCTTTCCTGGCCAAATAACGGCCCCACACAACTGCCTCACCCATAATGAAAGGATTAGCCAAAAGTGTCCCCCAACTCTGGGCGACTCTGTGACATGGACATATTGCAACGCTGATTCGTGTGCTCTGTTGGAACTTAAGCGTTGTCTGTGCTGGGACACAACTCAGAACGGGTGAACATGAGTCAGAATCTCTGTCCTGTCTGCCTGGTGACCAGATTCCTGACCGTAGGTTCTGACACTTCCTGTGAAGCTCAAAGTTACCAGGAAGAAACTTCTGTCAAAGCAGAGAGTCCAGTTTCAGTATGTGGTGAGAATCTTACAGAAAATGAGGGGCAACCTCAGGGACCCACGCAGAGCTGAGAGACACCCTAGAAGCCCAGTCTCCTGTTGCTGATGTTGACTAACTTGCTGTTGGTGGATCATCCAACCAGGTACTCTCAGCCTGGCTAGTCCATGAAAGCATTTAGAAAAAATGTATGGCTCTGAAATATAGGTGGGTCCCCAGAAGGCAAGCTGCGTACCTCAGACAAGTCAGTTACAGAATGAAATCCTGCAGGGCATGTGGTGCTCACCTGTAATCCCAGCACTTGGAAGCCTGAAGCAGGCTTGCCACCAGCTGGAGAGCAGCCTGGGCTACAGATGACTGCAAGGCCGTCTTGAACCACACAGTGAGGGCCTGCGTCCAAAACAAAAAAGCAAACCCAAAAAGAAAAGGAAAAAATTACAATGAATTCTTGGGGGAGAAGGAAGCCCAGAAAAGCCCAAGAGTGCGACTGTCCCGTGCTAGAACCTGCCGCCATCCGTGCAGGTCACCAGGTGCCTTCTGGGGTGGACCCTGAGCTTGGTTCACGGATCTGCTGCCACTATCTTGAAATTCTTCCTAGTTTTGGAATGAGAGACATCCATGTTTTCATTCTGCGCCAGGCCCCACAAATTATGTAATTTCTCCTGACCGCACCCCATGGAACACTAGTTGAGTATTTAAAAGTACTTTTGTCCCTCTTAACTCACCCTCAACAGTACACCTAACATTTCATCTGTTATTTGGTTGAAGAAACATGTACCTGTTTCAACACTGGAGGAAAAACCAAGCAGGAAAAAAAAGACCCCAAACCACCACCTGTGATACTCCAGGCTTTGCAGTCACTTAAGCAATCTTGAAGACGAGTTCTGGCTGCGCAGTCTTGTTCCTGTGCTCCCCCTGGCCAGCCCGGCCCTCACGTGGAACATAAGCCCATGCCAAGAGCAGAAGAGAAACAGTACCATGAGCCCTCATCTGTTTTCCTCCCCCTTGTCCATTTTAAAGTGCTTCAGAAAGAACTGAAGACTTTCAACAAGAGGAAGGGCCGGGATTGAAAGCAGCAAGAGGAAGGGAATTCGGGAGCCCACATCCTGGGAGCTGGCCTTATGGCTCGCTTACAGGGCTGCACCTTCCCCTCACCTTGCTGGAAGCATAAAAAACTGCGCTGCAAAATGAAGTCTGTAAAACCGGGAAACCGCAGCTGCTTGGGAATGTGTGTTTTGTCCTTTTGTGGTGGAAGATGAGGCAGTCATAAGGCACTGACCACTTTGACTATTAGGTCACGCGCGGTCCCTCTTCCTGTGCGAGAGGTCCCTTCCTTGCTTTCCACCCAACTGAGTTCAT